CCCAGGAGCCTCACTTTGAGAACTACTACACTAAAAACAGAGTAATAGAGAGCTTAACTTCCAAACCAATGGGGCATGGTGGGGGACAGGGATATGAAATGAGAAAACAAACAAAACCTTCCATCCAGACCAGCTCTGCCCAATAGAAACGCAACGCAAGCCACATGTGTAATTTTAGTTCTGTTAGCCACATTAAAAGTATGGAGAAACCGGTGAAATGAATTTTAATAAGATAGTTTATTTAAACCAATATACCCAAAATATTGTCATTTTAATATGTGGTCAGTGTAAGAACAGTTAATGGGATAATTTACGTTCTTGTCTTTTTTTGTACTAAGTCTTCAAAATTCAGTGTGTATTCTATACTTAAGGCACTTCTCAGTGTGGACTAGCCACATTACAAATTCTCAGCAGGCATGTGTGGCTTGTAGCTACCACACTGGACGCGGCGGGTCTAGACTGTAAGTGACATCATTGCGCAGAGGACAGACGCCCCAGTCGTTGAGTGTCCCCTCTGTGCCAGACACTGGCCTGGACACTTTGCACACGTCATCCCACTTAGTCCTCACCTCATCCTGTGAGATTAGGCATTACTATCATCCCCATTTTGCAGATGGGGAAACTGAGGTCAAGGAAATTGAAAACACCTGGCTGTGATCATCTAGCTGGTAAGCAGCACAGCCGGGATTCAAACCCAGAACTCTCTGATTCTGGTGCCAACACCCGAACCTGTAGGCCAGGGGTCTCTCCAAAGGGTTTTTTGGAACAGGTCCGGTAGTAATTATTTTAGGCTTTGTGGGCCAGACAGTATCTGCCACAACTACTCAGCTCTGCTGTTGTAGCACGAAAGCAGCCTAAGACAATACGTAAACAAATGGGCATAGCCCTGATCCAGGAAAAAATCGCATTTAGAAAACTCAGGAGAGCTGGATCTGGCCGGGTCGTTTGCAGACCTCCGTGCTGGGCGGGCACAGCTGCCTCGTCACCCACTTAGGGGAGGCCTCGCTGGTCATACTCGGTATTACTGATGTCCCTCGGGGTGTGGGTGCACCCGCACGCCCACGCGTGTGTGTCGTGGGTGAGTGGCAAATGTGGGACCTCTCATTCCAAAGTCTCCAGGGTCCCTGGGCTCCACAAATATTCGAGTTGTAAAGCAGCTGCCCTCAGGGCCTGAGGCCTGCTCCCTGCTGAGCACACATTTGCTTCTTTTCTTTGCCCACTTATCTGTCATTCCCTCCCCGCCCCTCTGCCTCCCTCTCCCTCCTCCTGTCCCTCCTTCCACTTTACCTTTTTGTCTTTGTTATTTGGGGCGCCTTTCTCTTCCCAAGGCCTGGTCTTTGGGTCTCCCTTCTCTCTAGCACACTCTCCTGCTCCCATCTTCCTTCTCTTGCTTCCGGTAGTCCCTTAGTGCCCTCCCCTGGGGAAATGTAGCCAAGCACCGAGGACAGCCCGCCCCTACCTGGGCGCAGAATGGCCAGATCCACACCCCCCCCCCAGCTCACCGAGAGCCCCACCGTCCCACCTGCACCAGGCTGAGCCCGGCTTGACAACAAGGAAGACCAGTCCCCTCCTAGTGCCAGAGCTGAAGCCAAGGAGCATTTATCCCAGGCTGCAGCACAGCACCCAAGCCCCGGGGAGGGCCCCTGGTTGCCAGCAATAGCCACCCTGACTAAGCACCTGTGCCATCCACCTACAAAAAGACATCAGAGAAAAATATCTCCTAATAGGACGAGTTTGTGTGGCCGTGGGTGCGTGTGGGGAGGGGCGCGTGAAGGGAAGCTTCTATCAGCAGAAAGAAGTTCATGCCAGCTGCTGGGAAACCCAGTTTGCAGGTTCAGCGCGTTGGTGGCCATGCCGTTGCTGGGCAGTGTTCGTTCGAGAGCATCTTATCTGAGTTGCTGCAGTCCTAAAGGAGGAATATCTCGTGGGGTTATTCTAGAAGGTCCTTGAGACAGTCTTCATCTTAGACACGTGAGCACAAGCTCTCCTCCTTCGTGCTTTCCCGGCTCTAATTTGTTTGGATCCGACAAAAGTGATTTCATCCTGGTATCTGCCACTTTCACTGGGCTATGGCTTCACATTCAGAGTCGATAACTGTCATATCATCCAAGAAGGTAGATATTATTATGATACCCATTTTGTGGATTGATAAACTGAGGTCTCAAGAAATTTGCCCAAAGTCAAGGTCTGTTCCACTCCGAAGCCTGGTCCAAATGGACAACGTGTGCGGTGTCTTGGGAATTGGGGTAACCAGATTCGGCCACACATTACCTCTCCTCCTCCCAGAAGTATGTAAGAGAGAGAGAACTCAGCCATAGGGACAAGACAGAGAGAAGCCAGCCAGGCTGAAGGTCACCCAGCAGGCTCTCAGCTCTCTCCAACCCAGGGAGGATGCCCTGTTTAGGTACCTGCAGCCGACCCCCGCAGAACTTGGAGTCCTGGACCCGATCAGAGAGACTTCCCTGCAAGCCCTGCTGGCCTCTGCGAGCCGGCACCCCCGCTGGGCTCAGGTCCGTGGCCCTGGCCGGGCAGCCCTCTCACCAGGCAGGAACTGCGGCCCCAGCAGGGCTGCAGAGGCTGTTTCCGCCTTCCCAGGCACCGTGGCAACATGGGTGCTCAGACTGGTGACCCGCACAGAGCTCTGTGCCCCTCTGCCATTTCCCCGGGGCAAAAAGAGGTCTTGGACCCACCAAGAAGGGAAATACTATAATGTTGGCAGTGACTTCTCAACCCCTACCCACCCTGGCACAGACGGCCTCGCCACACTCACTGCCACTGAGTCCTCACGTCAGCGCGCAGAGGAGGCAGGCGGTAGAGAGCAACACTGTGCCAGCTTTACAGAGGGGGAAACTGAGGCATGAGGCATCCGGGAGAAAGGTTTTGGCGGAGATGGGGATGATGCATGAGTGTGTGGCCACCAAGCGGATGCAGGCATTCTCAAGGAGTCCCTTGCAGAGTTTAAAAAAGAAGGAAGGATTTGGAAGAAGGGGCTTTGTAACTTGAAAAAGTGAGATTTCTAGACTATTTTGTCTCAATTTCAAACATAATATAGTCAATTCAGAAAACTTGAGAAACAGAAAATATGCACACTCAATTACTCTCACATATGCATACAAACACACACAATCACACAATTATCCATCACCCCTTTCCAGAAGCAAAGACTCAACATTTATCCACCTGGTATTAAATGCACATACACATGTACATATATAATTATACATTAAATACATAATTTTTAAACTACAGATGGGATTACATTGTACCTGCTATTTCTTCATTTTTCACTTGGCAAGAGATTGTGGACATTTTCCCATGTCAAAAATGTTCCCCTGTGCCCGGGGTTCTTGTTCATCGCACGCACCCCAACATGTGGACAGAAATCACGCATTCAAATACACTCCCGTCCATAACCATTTATATTGCTTCCTAGATTTTAGTTTTTTCCAAACTGTGTCATTATAAAACTACACATGTTTATTATGGAACTCAGAGGTACAGCAAGAGAAAACACACAGAGGTAGGGCAAGAAGAAAATAACCGTATTTTCCCCAGTATGCAAACTCCGTAACTGCGAGCATTTGTGTGTACCTATTACCTGTTGGAACCACGTGCCCTATTTGTACTGATGGATCAGCATCTTATTCCATCATTGTGATGATTTGTAATATATAATTTCAGCCAGGTCCTTTCTAATCAGGTTTATTTTTAATATTTGTCATTTTTCATGGTATTGAGTCTGTCTGTTTTGGTTTCTATTCAACCCTGTTTTAGAGAGATTCTTTTCCCCACTCAGCGGGGTTCGTGGAACCTGAACTTTGCATGTTTAGCAGGTGTGACGCAGCCGACCACAGACGGAAGAATGGGGTTGGAAAATGTCAGTGGATAGACTTTTTTTTACTGTGAGGGCCACTCCAGAACAGGCTTCCTGTGTTAAGAAAACGGAGCTGGGGCCGGGGTCGGTGGCTCAGCCTGTAATCCTAGCGCTCTGGGAGGCCGAGGGGGCAGATCGCTCGAGTCAGGAGTTTGAAACCAGCCTGAGCAAGAATGAGACCCCCCATCTCTACTAAAAATAGAAAGAAAGTAATTGACCAACTAAAAATATATATGCAAAAAATTAGCCGGGCATGGTGGCGCATGCCTGTAGTCCCAGCTACTCGGGAGGCTGAGGCAGGAGGATCGCTTGAGCCCAGGAGATGGAGGTTGCTGTGAGCTAGGCTGATGCCACGGCACTCACTCTGGCCTGAGCAACAAAGTGAGACTTACTCAAAAAAAAAAAAAAAAAAAAAAAAAAAAGAAAAAAAAAAAAAAAAAACAGAAATGGAGCTGGGGCTCCATTTATCCTAAGAAAATAAATCGCCCGGTTGCCCAGGGATGACTGCCGTGTGTTGTTTGCAATACTGGAAAATTGGAAACAACCCCCTGCCCAGCAGGACGAGGCAGGTGACATAAATTACGGAGCCTCCTTCCATGCATCCCGTGCAGTCGGAGCTCTTGCAGCTCTCTACTGATCAAGATGTGATCAAGATGGTTCAGATGTCCCTGGCAGCGGGCCCAGGCACACCCAGTCCCCCGGGGCCAGTCCCCCCTGTTTCAAGACAGACACACAGGAAAGACGCCCTCCGCGGCGAAGGGGAAACCGGCGCATCACAGACGACTGCCGCAAGCCAGCGCGTGGGCCCGGGCGTGTTTGCAGGCGTGGGCGTCTGTGTGTCCCGAGGAATATTTAACTGAACATTAGCAGCTGCTGTCTCTCGGTGTGGGGGTGATTTCCATCTTCTGTTTTATTTTTATTTTCTTCTGGAATAAGTTTTTCTTCTTTTCTTTCGAGGAGGGGCATAGATTACTTTTGTAATGGGAGCGGGGGCAGAAAAACAAAGCAAAAGCCATTTTGGCTTTGAAGAGAAGACAGTCGTGGGGAAGACGTCCCTGCCCTCCTGCTCCTGCGCCACCCCGGGGTGCAGCGGCCCCCAGCACGGCCGTGCGCTTGTGTGTTGCAGACTCGGACAGCCAGTGCAGCCCCACGCGCCAGAGCCTCAGCCTGTCGGAGGGCGAGGAGCAGACGGACCGGCTGCAGCAGGTGGAGCTGGTCAGGACCACGCCCATGTCCCACTGGAAGGCGGGCACCGTGCAGGCCTGGCTGGAGGTGGTCATGGCCATGCCCATGTACGTCAAGGCCTGCGCCGAGAACGTGAAGAGCGGGAAGGTAGGGCAGCTCCGGGCCCGGGGCACGCGCCCCACCCTGACACTGGCCGCCCCCAACGCCCACCCTGGGGTCAGGAGGGCCGGCCGACCTGCGTCCGGGCTCTGGTGTCCCTGCTAAATCACTGTCCCTCCCTAGCAAGGTGTCCCTCCCAAGCCCCCTTTACCCGGCTGAAGGGAGGCAGGACGCAAGAGAGGGCTCTTTGGGGCAGGAAGGAGATTCTGCCCCCCCTGTGGGGCAGAGGAGCAGGGGTGTTCCAGGTGCTCTGCCTGGACTGCAGGGGGAGGTGGGCGGGGAGACGGGGGAGGAGCCCCACAGACGCCCCTCTGGGCCGGGCCAGCCGCTGTCCTGGGACGCCTGGGGTGCAGCAACAGCCCGACTCCCACCCCCCTCCCGGGAGCAGGTGCTGCTGAGCCTGAGCGACGAGGACCTGCAGCTGGGCCTGGGCGTGTGCAGCTCCCTGCACCGGCGCAAGCTGCGCCTGGCCATCGAGGACTACCGCGACGCCGAGGCCGGCCGGAGGTGAGCGGCTCCTGGGCGGAGGGGGAGGGCTTGGCTTGGGCTCCCAGGGAGGAGGGGGAAGGGCCACCCTGGGGCCTCCGGGTTACGCAGGTGGGATGAGCAGGCTGCTGAGGGCTGGGCCAGGGGTGGTGGGGATCTTGGGGTGTGATCAAGATGGTTCAGATGTCCCTGGCCAGCGGGCCCAGGCACACCCAGTCCCCCGGGGCCAGTCCCCCCTGTAGCAAGACAGACACACAGGAAAGGCATGAGACCAAAAATGCCCTATGACACCCCCAGACCCCAGCATGGAATCCTCGTGTGCCCCCCAGAACTGCCCTGCCTCCAAAGATGAGCCCCAGCAGGTCTGCTGCACCTGCTTCGGCGTCTTACCATTCCAGAGTGAGGAAAGACAGCACAAGTAGGGAGGAATCTCAAACAGAGGATGGGGCCCAGGTGGGAGGGGGCCCTCTCAGCAAGCATACCCGGGCGCCCTGTGTCCCCAGCAAGGCCACCCTGCCCGGTCCCCACACCCTCCGCCCCAGCCCTGCCTCCTGCCCGCCTGGCTCCTGACGTTCTGGGAGCAGACTCTGTTGGGGGCCTCACCCACCACGCAGCTCCAGGGAAAGGGGAAGGAGCCCCGCACCCACCCCATGCTGGGAGTGCGGAGAGGGGAGGAACTCGCTTTGTAAATCTGACACTCTCTGTCTTGCATAATTATGTCCTTCACTGGTTTCCCCATCATTTTTGTGCAGTTAATTAATCAAACCTGGTGGTGTGTGCTGTAATTTGCAGAAGCAGCTTAGTGGATTAAAAAAAAGACGGGGTTAGGGGTAGAGTTTCCTACTTCAAAACTGCCTGATTTGGAAGTAGGAAAACCGGGTCCACCTGTGTCTGGGAGAAAGGTGTGATTCTGAGGTGACAGGAAAGCCAGAGGTGACCCTGGGTCAGAAACTTGGGGAGCAACTCAGAGCAAGCAAACAAGAAGGGGCCCGGCCTTGTCAGCAAGTCAGGACACCAGCACAGTAACTGCCGTGTGAGTTGTATTTAACTCACACTAGTTTTGAGCCCGGGGCCTTGTGAAGCACCTGTAACTCACACGTCTCTTTACCTTGGGAGCCGTGAGAACTATTTTTCAAGTTGCATATAACACATGCACAGAATATAATAAAAAAATAACACATTTTTCATTACATTAGAAAGGATCATTTTGTTTTTGAAGTTTTTACTCTATTTTCGTAATAAAACGCCATGGCCCCAAGGAAAAATGTGCCAGCCAGGGTTGGGGCTACCCCATGCTGGGTGTCGCCTCCTGAGGGTCTCACGAGCACCTGACACTCACTACCCACCCCCTAACCAGCTCCGTCCCCTTCACCACCCTCAGCCACCCAAGCTGGACACTCTCCTGCCCCTTGCACGCCCCCAGTAGGGTCTGTACACACTGCCTGTGTTCATCGAACAGGGTGGACTGCCTGCTTCACCTCTTACAAATGTGGGGAGTCCAGGCCACTGCCCAAGCTGCCCTCAAATGTGGCTGTCTTAGTCCACTTGGGCTGCCATAACGAAATACCACCGACTGGGTGGCTTAGACAACAGACACTTCTTTCTCACCGTTCTGGAGGCTGGAAGTCGGAGATTGAGTGCCAGAATAGTTGTGTTCCGGGGAGGGCTGTCTTCCTGGCTTACAGAAGGCCGCCTTCTTGCTATCTCTGCACATGGCAGGAAGAGGAATAGAGACCCATCTCCAAAACCACCACATTGGGGGTTAGGATTTCAGCATATGAATGGGGGGGGCAAATATTTAGTCCACAACAGTGGCTGACCTTGGGAACCTCCAGGAACCAAGAGTCTGCGGTGCCCAGAAAGGTGTGGATTCAATGTGCAGCCAGATGTGAATGGGCTTTGAAAAATTCTGGGTGCCATGAGCAGGAAGTTTTCAGGGATCATGGGGCCCCAACATTAGACACCTCCCAGGGATTCCTGGAGAAGGCAGAGGCCTTATTTTGAGTTTTCTGTTCCCTGCGGAAACCTGGCCTGCCTCTAACTTGCCATGTGACATTGCCCACTGTGGGACTCAGTTTTCCCACCTGTGAAGTGGGAGTAAACTAGGACAGTGATGTTTAAACTTTTGAGGATCACAGCCCCTTTAAGAACCCTTTGCACCCCTTTAAGAACCCTTTAAGAGCTTTTGATCCTTTCCCCCAAAAGAAATATACAAAACTTTACAACTTTGCATTGTGGGACCCTCCCACCCACCCACTTTCAGGGGTCCATGGACTCTAGGGTGAGAACCTCAAGTGAGTTCATCTTCGAGAACATTGTCAAATGTGACATCCGGTGTGACCAAGGCCGTGACACTGCCCACTCTGGGCCCAGTTCCCCTTATCTACAAAGTACTGACAGCAAAACCCGCCGACCCCTTGCCAACTCATCTTCACTGCATGAAAACGATTTTATTTGATCCTCACGACACCAATGCCGGATGGACATCCTTTCCCTGGTTCTAAAGATGAAGACAGTGAGGTGTGCAGAAACAACGTGCCTGAAGCCACAGGTCAAATCTCTGACTTCAAAGTCAATCACCTTTCCACTGTCCCGCACCACTTTATATCAAAACACAAGAACAGAAAAGTGGCTCCTGCTACCGTTCTTTCTGGAACACCCGGTGTATCCCAGACCCTGCGCTAAGCGTTTTACCTTCTCATCTCTTCCAGCCTTTATAACTCCACAAGGCAAGCATGTTTACCCCCATTTTACAGATGAGAAAAGTGGGGCCCAGGGGCTCCAGGTTGCAGGGCTAAGTGTGCCAGAGCCAGCCCAGCCTCCCATTGTCTGTGTTGTGTGTGACCCAGGTAATGTCTAAATGCGACGCCTGTCCTCAGACTTCAGGGTCTACTCTGCTCGCAGTTTGGGGAGGGGGTGGTGAGAAATCGTATAACATGCCTGAATGGCTTTTATGGCCATGCCGTTGTATTCTGCTCGGGCTCTTGCAATCAATAGCTCAGACCAACAGCAGGGAGAGTCAGAGGCCCCGTGGGGACGACTTTAATGAAAAGGGAACGTTAACTGTCGGGGTGCTGACTGTGCATGGGCCTCTCTGGAGCAGGTTAAAGCCCCCACCCCACATCCTGTTGCGTCCTTGATCTGCTGATCAAAAAGCCTGGCTCTGGGCAGGAGCGGAGCCCATTCTGTGTTCCGTCAGCGACAGCCCTGGCCCGGTGGCATCCGATTCAGAGGGCTGTGAGCTCCGGCTCGCACCTAAGAGAGAAAACAACGGGAGCTGGCGCCTCAGAAGGGTCCCTCTGTGACGGGGCTGGGGCCAGCCTTTGAGGGGCTGGGAAGGGGTCTACCCCAGGACCTTTGCACCCCAGAAGGAGCTTGTCTTGGGTCAGAAGATTCCAGTTCAGGAGCTCCCCTGAGCCCTGCTCTGTCATTACACATTCAACTATGAAACAAACACTGTAGAACAGGCGTCCTCAAACCACGGCCCGAGGGCCACATGCGGGTGTTTTTGCCCATCTGTTTTTTTATTTCAAAATAAGATATGTGCAGTGTGCATAGGAATTTGTTCATAGTTTTTTTAAAACTATAGTCTGGCCCTCCAACAGTCTGAGGGACAGCGAACTGGCCCCCTGTTTATAAAGTTTGAGGACCCCTGCTGTAGAACGTTAACTCTGAGCCGGGGAGTGGGGGCCTGGGCTTTATCGGTAAGCCGCACCCAGCCCCGCCCTCCAGGAGCTGACGGTCCAGGGAGGCAGCTGGCCACGTGAGCAGCAGCGACCCACAGCGTGACTGGGGCTGGGAAGGGGACTCCTGGGGACTTTGGGCACAGAGGAGGGCCCCTGACCCAGTACAAAGTCCTGGAAGGCTTCTGGGAGACCAGGCATCTCTGCAGAGTCCGAAGGCGTTAAAATTCAGGCCGGGCGCGGTGGCTCACGCCTGTAATCCTAGCACTCTGGGAGGCTGAGGCGGGTGGATCGTTTGAGCTCAGAAGTTCGAGACCAGCCTGAGCAAAAAGCAAAACTGCATCTCTACTAAAAAGATAGAAAGAAATTAGCGGGACAACTAAAAATATATAGAAAAAATTAGCCAGGAATGGTGGCACATACCTGTAGTCCCAGCTACTCAGGAGGCTGAGGCAGGAGGATTGCTTGGGCCAGGAGTTTGAGGCTGACACCATGGCACTCACTCTAGCCTGGGCAACAGAGTGAGACTCTGTCTCAAAAACAAACAAAAAAATTCAATGTGGGACTGGTGTGTTGAAGGAACTCACTAGAGACAGCGGGCTGGGGAGCCACTTGAGACAGCACATCTAAGGGGGGGGGGCGGACACAGAGCCGGGGGCTGAGCCTGGGGCCGAGTCTCAGTGTCCCCCGGAAACGCCCCAGGAGCCTGGTGTGTGGGGAGGGTCAGGGCCAGTGGGGCGGCCCCTGTAGGCCCCTCCAGGGACTTGGGACTCTTCCTGCCAAGGGGAGCCAGGGAGGGCGCCCAGCATTTTAGAGGACCCTCTGGCAGCCGCGGGGAGTGTGTATTGGAAGGGGCGGGTGTGGGGAGTGGGGTGGGGGGTCAGTCGGAGGCAGCTGTAGGAATCCAGGCCAGAGATGGTCGCAGCTCCAGGAGAGGAGACAAAGGGACAGAGGACACACCGACCAGAGGAACCAGGCAGGGCGGTGGGGCAGGTGAGGCCCGGCTGCCGGCTTAGGAGCTGGTGACAGTGACGCTGCAGGAGGGGAACGGCTGGGGCAGAGGCTGGGCCTCAGTGGGACCTCCCGTGGCAGCCAGGAGGCTGGAGAGGGCGGGTGAGAAGGGAAGAGAGAGGTGAATCTGGGAGAGGCCACCCGGAGCCCCTGGGACAGGAGGGAAGGGGTCAGGGTGACGGCGGGTGACCAGCTACCTCTGGCCGCCGCCCACGGGGGTGGGGGGTGGAGGGCGGAGCTGCTTCGCAAGCCCATCCCCCTCGCCCCACCCCCACCCCCCTCGCTGGAAGCGGATGGGCTCATCATCGATGGCCCGCGCGCCTCCTGCCTTCTGCGAGGCTGCCACCGCGTGGCCAGCGGAGGGGTGACAGTGCGGGGCCCACCCTGGCCTGCGCAAGTACTCACGGTGCGCCTGCTGTGTGCGTGGCTCTGGGCTCCGGCCAGTGCGGGCCGGACGAGGGGAGTCCAAGACACGTGGTGCGGCTTTAATTCCGACTCCATGACATGCCACCGTGTGGCTCTGGGCAAAGTTGGAGCTTCCCCTTCGTAGAGAAGGACGGCAGCTCCTTCCTCACGCAGTGCTCCCCAGGGCTGGGACGTGCTCCCTCCTCACGCGGTCCTCCCGAGAGCTGGGACGTGCTCCCTCCTCACGCGGTCCTCCCGAGGGCTGGGACGTGCTCCCTCCTCACTCGGTGCTCCCGAGAGCTGGGACGTGCTCCCTCCTCACGCGGTGCTCCCGAGGGCTGGGACGTGCTCCCTCCTCACTCGGTGCTCCCGAGAGCTGGGACGTGCTCCCTCCTCACGCAGTGCTCCCGAGGGCTGGGACGTGCTCCCTCCTCACGCGATGCTCCCGAGGGCTGGGACGTGCTCCCTCCTCACGCGGTGCTCCCGAGGGCTGGGACGTGCTCCCTCCTCACGCGGTGCTCCCGAGGGCTGGGACGTGCTCCTTCCTCACGCGGTGCTCCCGAGGGCTGGGACGTGCTCCTTCCTCACGCAGTGCTCCTGAGGGCTGGGACGTGCCTGGCACAGCGTGAGTGGACACTGTGACGGTGGCCACTGTCACTTCTCATAATATCCACCACACAGGAAAATGGCCAGAGAGCACCACCGGGGAGGACGTGCTGACCGGGAGGGCCGGCCCCGGCCTCGTGGGTCCAGGGATGCTGTCGAGGCCCCCGTGGAAGTGAGGGGGGCCTAGGCAGGGGGGGTGGGGTCCCCAGAGATGCCGTCTCCAGTGTGGCCCTTCTGCTCTGTCCCTGTGCCTGCTCCCACTCTGACCGTGGTCTCTTCCCTTTTCCTGCTCCCTTCTGTCTGACTTTCTATCGATCCTGTCTGTTCTTTGGGCCTTTCTGTCTCTCCCCACCCTTCCGCCTCGCCCCATTTCTGCTCTTCTGTCTGCCTTCCTCTCTCTCTCCCCACTCCACCTGTCCCTGTCTGTCTCTGTGGCTTTCCTGGTCCCCGTTGTTTCCCCATCTCTGCTGCCATTCCTGCCTGTCCCTGTTTCTGACACTCGTCCCGTCCTCTCTCTGGCTGCGTCTCTCCTCCCCAGCCTGTCCAAAGCTGCTGACCTGGACCATCACTGGGTGGCCAAGGCCTGGCTGAACGACATCGGCCTGTCCCAGTACTCCCAGGCCTTCCAAAACCACCTGGTTGACGGGCGGATGCTGAACTCCCTGATGAAGCGGGACCTGGAGAAGCACCTGAATGTGTCCAAGAAGTTCCACCAGGTCAGCATCCTCCTGGGGATCGAGCTGCTGCACCAAGTGAACTTCAGCAGGGAGGTGAGGACCAGGCCCTTCCTCAGCCCTCCTTCCCCTCTGGCATCCGCTGCCTGTCCATCTAACCATTCACCCATCTGTTCATCTATCCATCTGTCCAGTCACCCATCTGCTTGTCCATCTATCCATCTGTCTGTCCATCACCCACCTATCCATCCATCCCTCTGCCAATCCATCTGTCTCATCCATCCATGTGCTTGTTCATCCATCTATCCATCTTTCCCACTCATCCATTTATCCATTTGCACATCCATCCATCTGCTTGTTCATCCATCCATCTGTCCATCCATCACCCACCCACCCATCCATCCATCTATCTGCTCATCCAACCGTCATCCATCCATCCATCTTCTTGTTCATCCATCTGTCCATACATCACCCACCCATCCATCCATCTGCATGTCCATCCATCTGTCATCCACCTGCTTATTATTCCATGTATCCATCTATCCATCCATCACCCACCCATCCATTTATCCATTTGCACATCCATCCGTCACCCACCCATCTCTTGTTCATCCATCTATATGTCTGTCCATCACCCACCCATCCATCCACCCATCTGTCCATCCTTTACCCACTCATCCATTTGTCCATTTGCACATCCATCCATCTGCTTGTGCATCCATCCATCCATCTGTGTGTGCAACCATCATCCCTCCCTCCCTTCCTCTTTCCAACAGCCACATACAGGGCATGGGCCAGGCCCTGTGCCCAATTCTGGGGAAATGGGAGCCCTCATCCTCCGAGAGCTCACGCTTCTCAAGGAGAACCACAAAGAAGCTGGTGGTGACAATACTGTGGGAAACTGTCCCAACGAGGGAAGCCCAGGGTTTTATGGAAACACAGAGAAGAAGCCTCCGGGCATAGTGACGGCCAAACTGAGACCTGAAGGAGGAATCGCAGGGATCAGTGGAAAATAAGAGGGAAAGGCAGCCCAGCAGAGGGGACAGCATGGCAAAGGCCCAGGGGACAGATCTGTGGCAGCAGAGGAACTGAGAGTCCTGATGGGCGGGGTGTGGGGGACAGTGAAAGGAAGTCACCTGGAGAGGTCACCAGGGGCCTGTGGTCAGTTCACGGTTTGGGCTCTGCGTGCCCCTTGCAAGACTCTGCGCCCTGTCAGGCCAGAGAGCTCAGGCACCTGCTTCAGTCCCCAGGGCCCCCCACACCCCCAGGGAGGGGCCCTGAGCCGCTGGCCTCGTGGGGCCGAGTCCACAGTTGGCCTTTCTTAGGGCGACCTCAGAGCACAAGCAACTCATGGGCGGGAGCAGAGGGACAGCAGAGGGGCCGCCGGCCCTTCCTCCCCCACCCCCCAAACACCCACTGAAAAGCATTCGTGGTGCACCTGATGTGTGCGTGGCACTGGGTGCTGTGTGGGATGTGGGGACGTCTGAGACACGCGGTGCGGCGGTAAGAGGGGGACTGGGAACTCGCCACCCATGGGCTTTCGTTCCAATGGTGGGACGTGCTGCTCCGTGGCTCCGGGCAGTCAGAGCTTCCTGTTTCTGCAGCGAGGGTGGCTGCGCCTTCCGCATTCAGCACTGGGAGCGGGGAGGGGACAAGGACGAGCCCAGTCTCATGAAAGAGGCAGAAAAGTGCAGGAAGGGCCCCCACTCCATGTGGGGCCTCCGGGTGCCCCTGCCCCGCCCGCCGACGGACCACTGTGTCCCGCAGGCGCTGCAGGAGCGCCGGGCCCGCTGCGAGACCCAGGACGTCGACCCCGTGGTCTGGACCAACCGGCGGGTGCTCAAGTGGGTGCGAGACATCGACCTGAAGGTGAGGGTGACGGCGGCGTGGGGGGGGCGTGTGCGAGCCCCGTGCGGGTTTGTGCGCGGTTCGGCATCCCCTCTGTGTGCACTGAGGCGTCCTCGCCCAGGCGGCCCCCCCAGGCCAACCAGCCTCGCGCCTGTGTCCCCAGGAGTACGCAGACAACCTGACCAACAGCGGCGTCCATGGCGCCGTGCTGGTGCTGGAGCCCACGTTCAACGCCGAGGCCATGGCCACCGCCCTGGGCATCCCCAGCGGGAAGCACATCCTGCGGAGACACCTGGCGGAGGAGATGAGCGCCACCTTCCACCCGGCCACGTGAGTGTGGGCCGGGCCCCCCCGAGGCACGGGCTGCTGGGTACGGCCCATCCCCGCCCGTCACTCGCCGGACCCCACTTGTTCCTTGCGCCACGGAGGTCTCTCCTTGTGCAGACCAGGAAACTGAGGCTCAGCGAAGCAAAGTGCTTTGGCCTGAAGGGCATAGACTAGAAAGAGGTAGGGGAGCAGTCAGGTCTTGAATAAAGCTGTGTGTTAAATCCAGAGCCAGCTGGGTGTTCAGGAGCATCCAGTGAGTGTGGAGGGACGGGCCGTGTGAGGGTGGTTTGAGTCAGGAGGGTCTGCACTGGCCTAACAGGTTGAGATGGCCAGTCCAGGCAGGAAATTCGTGGGGACAAAGTTTGGAGGCAGGGAGGGGCTTATTAATGGTGCTGATGGTCCATGTCAGCCCACCTGCCCTCGTATCCTCATCTGAAAAGTGACCAGAGAGTGGACCCCTGGACAGATAAACCAGGCCCCCTCCCAGTGGGCTCTCTCCTTGAAATGACACACCTAGGGTTAGATGACTATTTATCGAGCTCTTGCTACCTGCACTATCTAATTCCATCCTCCTGACAATGAGAAGAGAGCAGTATCACTACCCCTCCATTACAGGCGGAGAAACTTGTTCACAGGGACCAAGTATGTGCCCAAGCTACACAGCTAGCAAGTGGCAGAGCCGAGATTCATCTTTCATTCTACTAATAGGGTTTATTACATTGACTGATTTTCATATGTCAAACCAACCTTGCATTCCTGGGATAAATCCCACTTGGTCATGGCATATAATTAATTCTTTTTATATGTTACTGGATTAGGTTTGCTGGTATTTTGCTGAGAATTTCTGCAGCTCTGTTTATAAAGGATATTGGTCTACAGTTTTCTTTTCTTTGCGATGTTTTAATCTGGTTTTGGTATCAGGGTAATACTGGCCTCATAGAATGAGTTGGGAAGTGTTCCCTCCTCTTTTGTTTTTTAGAAGAATTTGCAAAGGATTGGTGTTCATTATTCTTGAAACATCTGGTAGCATGCACCGGTGAAGCCTTCTAGACTAGGCTTTTCTTTGTGGGAAGCCTTTTGACGACTAATTCAATCTCTTTGCTTGTTAGAGGTTTATTCAAATTTTCTATTTCTTCTTGAGTCAGTTTCAGTAGTTTATAACTGTCTAGGAATTTGTCCATTTCGTCTAGGTTAGGTGATTTGGTGGCATACAGTTCACCATGTAATTATTCTCGTATAACCCCTCTCGTTTCTATAAAGTTGGTATTAATAACCTCTCTCTCATTCCTGGTTTAGTAATCGGAATTTGAGTTTTGCTCTTTTTGTGTGTGTGTGTGACTGGCCTAGCTAAAGGTTTGCTGATTTTGTTAACAGAGCCCAGGTTTGAATCTGGGGCTCCCTGACTCAGGCCTGAGCGCTGAACCCCCAAACCACAGGGGGCCTTGGGGAGCAAGAGACTCAACCCTGGGGCCAGCCCAGCCGGCAAGGCTGATCCCCGCCCTCCGCCTTCCTTCCTGCACCTCGGTGCCTCTTCTGTGCCTGAAATGCCCTTTTTGACCCAGGAGATTCCAGTGAGATGCCTCGTTCTCCAGAACTTTCCTTCATCAAAATTTATCCTTCTGATATTCCATTTCCTCAAGGTCCAAGTGAGTAGCAACACATAATAGGCCAATTCAATCTTCCAAAGACCCTAGTCTTATGCTTGGCCTGTTCCCTGGAGCTTTTGTGTTTTCATGGGATTTAATCCAAATGAGTAACCATGGGGGTTGGATTTCAGCCACTGTGGACGTAACAAGAAGGGAAGATACTTTGGCATAGTGGTGGCCGGGCCATCCCTGCTCCTTTGTCTACACCACGAAGGCAGCCACTTTCCGTTCAGGGGATGGCTTGTTAAGACCAAAGCTGCTTACTGGGCTCCATCGTACAGATGAGGAAACTGAGGCCTGGCAAGGTGATCAGCTCACACAAGAACTCATCGAGGGAAGAGCTGAGAGGGCCTCAAGCCAGGTGTCTGCCCTCAAAGGCTTTGTTGGTCACACTAAGATATTTAACACAATAGCAGTTACTCTTGCTATGTTAGCCACTTCTCAGCGTCTTGTGAGTATCCTCTCACTTAATCCTCACAATGACATCAGGAGAGAAGCTCTGTTATGAACCCCACTCTGCAGGGCACGCAGCCCAGGTGACACAATCGCTGAGGGGTTGAGCCAGGCCACTGATGCAGAGCCCACACCTGCAGCCACGGCCCTACCCTAAATCCCAAGGTGGGAAGACCTTGGTCTCGATCTTGATCCTAGAGGCCCAAGTTCAGTTTCCATCCCTGCTACTCAATGTCTTGCACATCCTCGGATAAGACACCCATCCACTTGGGACTTCCATCTCTTTTTCAGTGGAAATAAGAGAAGAGACCCTGGGGCTCTCCCAGGTTCATTTGGCTGCTCATGTTCGTGAGTCAGGAAGCAAGCAGAGCTGGCTGCCTGAGCTTTTGTGGCTTCTGCAATTAGAGCTGCTTCCCCACTGGACCTGGAATTTCATCTCTAGGTTGGGGAGCAAGGGTAGTCACTCATGGAGACCTTATTTCCTAATCGGCCACAGAGCACGGCCTCCCTGCGACATGGAAGCCACTGGCACCGTGGGTTTGAGAACTTAAGTCAAGCTGCCATTCAATGAGTCAGTGCTGTCTCCTACACACTGCCCGCCCCCGCTTTGAACTTTCTCAGCAAAGTTTGCCCCAGAAGAACCAGAACTTCTCTTGAGGCAGATTAAAAGATGTTAGAAGGCTCCTTCTTTAAAGAGTCTGCCTCTTTGGTGACTCCCGGCTCTAGCCCCAGCTCTGGATCCTACATGGAGCCTCAGTTTCTTTATCCACAGCACCGACGTGCTCACACAGGGCTTGGCAAACTTTTTCTGTAAAATTCCAGATGGTAAATACGTTGAGATTTGGGGACCTTATGATCTCTGTCGAAAGCATACAACTCTGTCCGTACAGCAAGAAAGCAGCCCTGGACAATGCATAAACAAAGGGGTGTGGCTGAGTGCCAATAAAACTTTATTTACAAAATCGGGCAGCCAGCTGGATTGGGCCTGGCGCAGGCTGAAGTTTGCCAAATTCTATTCTATCAGAAGACTTCCATGCTTTTGTACAAAGAAGTTACAGGGGTAACTTCAGGGAGCAAGGCAGGCAGGGGACAGAGATTTCAAATGCAGAGCAGGGGAGACTCTCAAATCACATCTAAACAGCTAGAATCTGGGGACTCTCCATCACGCCTTCCCTCTCGTAGTAAGGGTGGCAGCATCCTGAAGAGTTAAGAGCAGGACTTTGGAGTCTCAAAGGCCCGGGTGTAGATCTTGGCTGTGCCACTTATAGCTGTGTGATCTTGGGCAAATTGCTTAATGTCTCTGTGCCTCCCTTTCCTCATCTGTAACACAGGGCTGGCAGTTTCGAGCCTTAAACACGTGGTGAGGATGACATTTATAAAGTGCTGAGCACAGTGACGGCACATAGGAGGAGCTCAGTCAGTCACTGCCACCAGTGTGAGTGTGTGCGTGTCTCTGGGTGGCAGTAGTTGACCAAGCCTCCCCTGTGACTCAAAACGGGTGTCTCCCCAGCTCCACCGGCATCCGGGAGGCTGAGCGCTTCGGAACGCCCCCCGGGAGGGCCTCCAGCGTCACCCGGGCGGGGAAGGAGGAGAACAGCAGTGGTCTCAAGTATAAGGCTGGCCGGGTAAGTGGCTCCATGCACTCACCTGTGCATCCTGCACACCTGGGAAAGATCTCTTTGTCCTCTGGGCTAGGTGGCCTCTCCCTGCTGGGTGGCTGTGGCTCCTGCCTTGACCTGCGGGAAGGCAGAGTGTCGGGCCGGGTCACAGGTGCCTCCAGGAAAGATGCCCTTCAAGAGCCCTGCATGCTGCCTCAGCCATGGTGACAAAGGCTCCCACGAGGCTTAGAGTGGTGCACTGTATCCTGAAGTGCAGGTCTCACATGCCTGCGTCAGAAACACCTGACACTATTGCTTGGTGTCCAGATTCTGGGGCCCACTCCGGCCTCCCAAAGCAGAAGGTCTCCGGGCGCGGAGGAGCCTGCAGGCAGCAGCCTGCCCAGAGGGGTCCCGTGCAGCCCAGACTCTGAGAACCACCGACTTACATTTAAAACCCCAGTGACCCGAGCAACAGCAAAGATGATCCTGGTGACTCCGACAAAACAGGATGACAGCACGTGCTATGTGGGTCTGATCGCACAGACAGCGACTGACGCCGATTCCTAAATGGAAATGTGTGGACACGGGAGGGTGAACTGCATGATCCAAAACTTCTCCCATTTGAAGACTGAGTGATCCCCAGTCACTCATAAACGTGAATAAGTTGCCACCCTTACCCTTAAATTCCCCATTCTAGCACATGCTTTCTAATTGGGAGGGGCATCGCCCCCAAAAGAGTACAAATTTGTTTGGGGTTGGGGGAGGGAGGCGGCAAAAAAAAACTTTACTCTTTTTATATACAAGCACAGATGTAGATACGGCACATGAACAGGTGCACGGGATATCTGCGGTATTAAAATTGCATGGTAGGGGTACAGTTGGGAAAAAACTGTCTAAAAAGTCTCCTTAGGAGGCAATAATAAAAAGAAAAGTTTGGGAAACACCCACCTAGAAAGAAAGGCAGTGAAGTAAATGGTTACAAAGCACTGTCATGACTGCCATGACATAGAAACATACAAAACAAGAGAGAGACACGTTTGAGGCCCACTGTGCGTGATAATAATAGTTGCTATTCACCAAGTACCTACTGTACGCCGGCACCCTGCTGTGCGCTTCACAGGTGGGATTTCTACTCTTTGCAATTCTGGGAGGGAGAAATTACTATTCCCATTTTGTAGCCGAGAAAGCAGACTCAGAGAGGGGAGGTGACTTCTCTGAGATCACACAGCTGGGAAGTGGCAGAACAGGAATCTGAACCCGGATCTGTACGTCTTTCTGCCACACTAGGCAGTGCTAGAATATTCCTTCTTGCCCTGGGCGTGGAGTCAGACCTCATGCTCCTGCTCAGACGTTCTCACAAATATTCTCCTTCACCCTCTTCCTCAACTCTCCTCCCACCAAAGAGGAAGGGAGGAGACTTTTGTGAATAATCAGACTGATAGTCTTTGTCCTTATGCTTGGCAACCAATTGAATCCTTCCACTTGGGAACACAAAACTCTCTCCCAATGGTAATTCACGATCTCCTCTCGGTCCCCCTGAGCAGTGACTATTATTACAACTAGGAGGAGCCCAGAGAGGTTAAGTGAGTTACTCAAGGACAAACAGCAATTCAAATTAGAGGCATTTCCCAGATCTGAAAACATTTAACTCTTGTTTCTCTTCTTCTTGTCCTTTGGTTATATTCTTGTCTTCCCAGCTGCCCCTGGGGAAGATCGGAAGGGGCTTCAGCAGCAAAGACCCCGATTTCCACGACGACTACGGCTCTCTGCAAAATGAGGACTGCGGAGACGACGACCCCCAGGGCGGGTTGGAGCAGTGCCGTCTGGAAGGCTACAACAGCCTGGAGGTCACCAACGTGTGAGGAGCCACGGCTCCACCCGACCCAGGCGGAGAGACCCCGCGGGAGGAGCAGCCAGATGGCCCGGGTGCCGTCCCCACTGTACATAGCGACCTCAGGCTGAGGGTGTCCCCTGCTCCTGGGCAGAACCCCAGCAGACTGCTGCAGGGTCACATGGGGAGTGCCCAGGAAAGAAGACCCAGCCTGCCTGTCTTGGGTGGCCGTGGGCTTTCCCGCTCCAGCCCGGGAGACTGGCCCGGAGGACGTGCCACAGTGCCCCGCCCCTCCGTAATCTGGATGCACAGCCCCCCCCAACCAGCAACTGTCAGCTGCCGAGCAGTCCACGCAGTGCCTGCAGCCTTGAGCTGAGCTGCAAGGTGGAAAGAGGCCCACGGTTTCCCCAAACACCCTCCCAGGGGAGCGGGTGGGACCCCAGCCCGACACCACGCGGCCGGGCGCATTAGCGGTGCCGGCAGCAGGCGGAGTGGCTGCGGGAAGTGCCGCCGCCACTGAGATGTCAGACGGAGGGGTCCCATCTGCGGCCCCCTTGGCCGAGAACTTGGGCCCCTGAATGTCTCTCGGGAGAATGCAAAACAGGACTGGTCGTCCCTTCTACCTTACAAGCTCCATGTCACGTGGGGGTGGGCGCGTTGAAGAGCTGTGTGCCCATGGGCCCAGGAGTGGCTATCCTGCGTCGGGGGCTGGTGAATGAGCCAGCTGGTGAGTGGGGCTCGGTGGCAACACCCCAGGAAATGCAGACATCCTATCACCAGCATGAAAGATATTGTGACAAGATCCAGGTCGACCGAGTTTGGACAGTGACAACTATATGGAGTATGGCAATGGATTTGGGATCTGGGGCAGGGGATGCTTGTCATCATTAACCCAACACATCTTTGTGGTGATGTCCCTGTCACCTGACACAGATGTGCTGCTCACCGACATCCTGAGATGCAAAGTCCACGGTGTTGGTGGAGAAGCCCTGTTCCTTTTCTTAACCCACCATTGTCTTGCTGTGTGGCTTCTGCCCAGTGGCCTCACCTCTCTGTGCCTCGATGTCTTCTTCTATAATACTGGTTCCCTCCCAGGGACGTTGTGAGGACTAACACTTGCTAACGTCCCTAACACACTTTGTACCCTCTCAGGAGACGATGGGAAGTTATGGGTGTCTAATTTCCCATTTACAACACGTTGGACTGGTTCTCTCCAAGTCCATTTTGGTCGGAGCAACGTGCAAAAGGAAGACAGGGCGTGTTTGATGCTCAGACTCACCAAGAGCCCCCAACAGGGCTCAACAAAAAACCCCATGAGCACAGCCTTGGAAACCGGTTTGACTCGAGCATTCAGGCCTGACTTCGGTGACCCGATGACTTTGCCGAGTGACATTAGGGAAGGACAGACGTGTTGGGATTCTACTTCCACGTCTGTTGTTAGCAAAGCCTGTCGTTGGTCGGAACCGTGATGCTCGGCCGCCTTTGAGGCCGTCTGCAGCAGGAGTCGGTGAGAGGTTTGGATCCGAGATCCGCAGCAGGTGTCGGCCTCTGGGAACCCTCAGAGCACGTGTTCTTCAACCCAGCAAACTGTCTCCTCTCGTGGGAAAAGCCGAACGCTCGTGAACTTGGGAATTACTCCTCCCTGATGCCGAAGACCGTGGTTTTCTCTCTAACCTTAACGTAAGCACAGCCTTTCTTGCTACCTGCCACCAAATGCCTAGCTGGTGCGCAGGTGGGTGTCGGGCCTCCTAAGACACATTTCTGACTGCAGGCCTCAAGGCGCGACTCCCTGGGGCTCGGCTCTGCTGAGGTTCAAAGCCCTGGATCTGGATGACATTCACAAGCGGCAAAGCCCACAGCTCAGAGAGGAGAGGGGACACCTCCTCTAACCTGGTGCCACAGGTCACTCCCTAGCCACATCCCAGTGAGCCGGGACCCTGCAATCTGCCTCTTGAGAGGCAGCAAATGCAGGGCACTTTTTCCCGCAGGGCGCGTGAGAACCGCAGAGGACGCCTGGATGCAGATCTGACGATTTGAAAGCAATGTGCACCCAAGTTGTCAGAAACGACACTTGCATTGTTCCAGACTCAATCCTGCTGGGGACAGTTGGGGATCCCGGCAGAGACGGCATTGCCCAAAACATCCGCAGCACGAGGCCAGCAGGCCTGGGGCAACCCAGTAGCCTCGAGTGCGTCTTTTGGTCCACGCGGCGCCATCACAGCCGTCTCTTGTGCACGAGGCTCCCCGCCTCCGGCGGCCAGGCGAGGACGTGGCGCTGTGTCTTCAACATGAGGGTGGGGCGGCGGTTAAATGAGCAACCTCCACGGAGTCAGATGGGGCGAGCTCTGTCTGCTGGAAAATCTGAGACGTCAGCTCGGCGTCAAGGGTGGGCAAGAGGAGTGGAAGGTGGAGACTTGGCAGAGAGACTCTGGGAGCTGATTGACAAAGGCTGCCAAGGGGTCGCCTCCAGGACGGTGACCTGCCACATCCCTCCAGACAGCCTGAGCTGTGGTCTTGGTCCCTAGAAGGTGGCTTAGCATGTGGGCCTGGGGACAACACAGATGTGCTTCTCTGGACGTTGCTGTGGCCTGTGCCCACAGGTCCTTTGAAAAGGTGAGGGGGCTGTGGGGCCAGGGGGTGGGGAGCAAGCAGCAGGGCAGGGAGAGACGCCCCATGTTCCTCCTGGAAGCCGGGGGCCAGAGCCAGCAGAAGGCACCTGCCTAGCTGACTGCCAGCGTTCTGCCCCCAGGGGCCTCTACAAGGCCCCTTGTCCCTGGCTGAGCCCGCCCTTCCTCCCAGAACTCTGTGGGTGTCGCGCTGGCAGACCCAGGCCGCAGGAGGCAGCGAGAAACCAACCACACGACAGGCTGGGCCAGAGGAAGCAGAGGGCAGAGAGTCTACATCACCCGGCCTGCTGGGGACCTTGGAACAGGGACCCTAAAGCTTGGGGTGACTGAGCAGGGCTGGGTCTTGGCAGAGTGGGAAGATTTAGCAAGACGTGACGTCAGCGTTCACGGCAGGGACACCCAGGCCCCCGTCACCTGGGGAGAAGAATGCCCGTGCTCAGGCGCAGCGCCCCGGTCCCACTGAAGCCGACACGTCTGTGCCGTCCCATCCGCTCTGCCTTTTCTGGAAAAGAAGCCCCGTGCGCGGCGGCATCCGCCGGGTCTGGCGCTGCCCCCGCTGCCTGGCTGGTGCGGTCCGTGCCCTGAGCCCTGGTGCGAGAGGGGACAGTGGCTACGGAGGAAAGGAGCTGTCTGTAAGCAAAGGGGACGTTCCTGGCCGCGACCCCAACGTCTTCCGGAGAGCGCATTTTAACACTGTAACAATAAATACTACTGCACAGCGCTTTCTCTATTGAGGTGACTTTTTGGTGTGTCTTCTCATTGAGTTTTCCCAGCAGCCTCTTGGAGAGGGGAGATTGTGAACCCATTTCACAGACTTGTCAGTGGAGAAATTAAGATTGCAAAGGCGAAGGGGCTTGCCCAGCTCCGGAAAGCTAGGAAGTCGTGGGGCAGGGCTCGACCCCAGCGTAGGGCTCACCGGGGGCAATCACTCAGACTGCGATTCAGGAGCACGAGCTCTTTCCTGCCAGAACAGTCCCCGACACGGCAGTGCCTTCTGTCCCAGGAACCTGCAGTCAGGAGGGGAACTTGTCCCCTCCCTTGGTGTCACTCCTCCCTTTGCTAGAATAGATTTTTTTTTTTTTTTTTGTGTTCATAAAAAGAAAAGTTTGGGAAACACCCACCTAGAAAGAAAGGCAGTGAAGTAAATAGTTACAAAGCACTGTCATGACTGCCATGACATAGAAACATACAAAACAAGAGAGAGACACGTCTGAGGCCCACTGTGCGTGATAATAATAGTTGCTATTCACCAAGTACCTACTGTACGCCGGCACCCTGCTGTGCGCTTCACAGGTGGGATTTCTACTCTTTGCAATTCTGGGAGGGAGAAATTACCATTCCCATTTTGTAGCCGAGAAAGCAGACTCAGAGAGGGGAGGTGACTTCTCTGAGATCACACAGCTGGGAAGTGGCAGAACAGGAATCTGAACCCGGATCTGTACGTCTTTCTGCCACACTAGGCAGTGCTAGAATATTCCTTCTTGCCCTGGGCGTGGAGTCAGACCTCATGCTCCTGCTCAGACGTTCTCACAAATATTCTCCTTCACCCTCTTCCTCAACTCTCCTCCCACCAAAGAGGAAGGGAGGAGACTTTTGTGAATAATCAGACTGATAGTCTTTGTCCTTATGCTTGGCAACCAATTGAATCCTTCCACTTGGGAACACAAAACTCTCTCCCAATGGTAATTCACGATCTCCTCTCAGTCCCCCTGAGCAGTGACTATTATTACAACTAGGAGGAGCCCAGAGAGGTTAAGTGAGTTACTCAAGGACAAACAGCAATTCAAATTAGAGGCATTTCCCAGATCTGAAAACATTTAACTCTTGTTTCTCTTCTTCTTGTCCTTTGGTTATATTCTTGTCTTCCCAGCTGCCCCTGGGGAAGATCGGAAGGGGCTTCAGCAGCAAAGACCCCGATTTCCACGACGACTACGGCTCTCTGCAAAACGAGGACTGCGGAGACGACGACCCCCAGGGCGGGTTGGAGCAGTGCCGTCTGGAAGGCTACAACAGCCTGGAGGTCACCAACGTGTGAGGAGCCACGGCTCCACCCGACCCAGGCGGAGAGACCCCGAGGGAGGAGCAGCCAGATGTGCCGTCCCCACTGTACATAGCGACCTCAGGCTGAGGGTGTCCCCTGCTCCTGGGCAGAACCCCAGCAGACTGCTGCAGGGTCACATGGGGAGTGCCCAGGAAAGAAGACCCAGCCCGCCTGTCTTGGGTGGCCGTGGGCTTTCCCGCTCCAGCCCGGGAGACTGGCCCGGAGGACGTGCCACAGTGCCCCGCCCCTCCGTAATCTGGATGCACAGCCCCCCCCAACCAGCAACTGTCAGCTGCCGAGCAGTCCACGCGGTGCCTGCAGCCTTGAGCTGAGCTGCAAGGTGGAAAGAGGCCCACGGTTTCCCCAAACACCCTCCCAGGGGAGCGGGTGGGACCCCAGCCCGACACCACGCGGCCGGGCGCATTAGCGGTGCCGGCAGCAGGCGGAGTGGGTGCGGGAAGTGCCGCCGCCACTGAGATGTCAGACGGAGGGGTCCTATCTGCGGCCCCCTTGGCTGAGAACTTGGGCCCCTGAATGTCTCTCGGGAGAATGCAAAACAGGACTGGCCGTCCCTTCTACCTTACAAGCTCCATGTCACGTGGGGGTGGGCACGTTGAAGAGCTGTGTGCCCATGGGCCCAGGAGTGGCTATCCTGCGTCGGGGGCTGGTGAATGAGCCAGCTGGTGAGTGGGGCTCGGTGGCAACACCCCAGGAAATGCAGACATCCTATCACCAGCATGAAAGATATTGTGACAAGATCCAGGTCGACCGAGTTTGGACAGTGACAACTATATGGAGTATGGCAATGGATTTGGGATCTGGGGCAGGGGATGCTTGTCATCATTAACCCAACACATCTTTGTGGTGATGTCCCTGTCACCTGACACAGATGTGCTGCTCACCGACATCCTGAGATGCAAAGTCCACGGTGTTGGTGGAGAGAAGCCCTGTTCCTTTTCTTAACCCACCATTGTCTTGCTGTGTGGCTTCTGCCCAGTGGCCTCACCTCTCTGTGCCTCGATGTCTTCTTCTATAATACTGGTTCCCTCCCAGGGACGTTGTGAGGACTAACACTTGCTAACGTCCCTAACACACTTTGTACCCTCTCAGGAGACGATGGGAAGTTATGGGTGTCTAATTTCCCATTTACAACACAGGACCGACGTTGGACTGGTTCTCTCCAAGTCCATTTTGGTCGGAGCAACGTGCAAAAGGAAGACAGGGCGTGTTTGATGCTCAGACTCACCAAGAGCCCCCAACAGGGCTCAACAAAAAACCCCATGAGCACAGCCTTGGAAACCGGTTTGAC